GTTATCCATACTGATGAGATCACAAATGCTCTGAAGTAATCGTAAGTTAATACGAAGGGTAAGGGGTCAACTTACTGTAATGATGCCGTTCAAATTACTGAAGACCAATGCAAGAAGAAACCTATAAATATCTAAGTTTCCTGCAGTTGACAAGAACAAACCACAAAGCAATGAATGAAAAGTTAAATAAGATACTCAATTTTCTTGGGGAGAAAATATTTCAAATTTATATTAATGCAGATAATGAAATAAGGCCAACAAATGGTCTTCAGTCCTGGCTTTGAAATATTAATTTGGAGTTTTTAAATGGTCTAATATAGATCTAGATGCTATGGCAACACAGTGTTAATAGCAAACATCATGAGTACCTAAAAGTTACATTATGTGTTTCATCCTAAGAAAGGAGGGTAATTAGCATAAATAATTTATATTATTCACAGATCGTAAAACTGCTTTTACTTCTAAATCAAGTCTTATTGCAACCTATATAAACTGGTAATAAAAACTGTCATATTTTTGCATCACTGTTTGAGAAAACAGTATATGAAACACCTGACAAATTGAAAACTCAAGTGTTAAAACAAAAAGAGCTTCATGATATATATCTACATAATTTAGTCAAAATTGGCAAAGGTAAAACAGGGGATTAGAGGACCCATAGAAGGTTTGAAAACTGTTTCCATGACTTTTATGAGCAGGGTGTAGTGAGCAGAATCAGGGGAACAATTTCTGTGATAACAACATTGTAAAGACAAACAACTTCGAAAGACTTAAGAACTATACTCAACGCAATGACCAACCAGGATTCCAAAGAAGGAGGTAATGGATTCAAGATGCAGACTGAGACATATATTTTTTGGATGTGTACAATATAGTAATTTGTTTTGCTTGATTATGCACATTTGTTACAGGGGTTTTGTTTTTCTTTTTTTCTTTTAAATTGGGGAAAAGGATGGGAGGGACAGAAAATTAATGGAAATTCAATTGTTAACTGAAAAATAAAATAGTCCCCTCAAGTCACATCTACTGGATGTTTTGCAGTTATCCTGTCACATGTGCTGACATGTCACAAAATTCTATCGTCATCATCATAATGGAGGTTTACAAAGCACTTTTACATGTTATCTCATTTGAGAGTCAAACAATCTCATGTTGGAAATATACCTACAACAGGGAAGGTAGAATTTTCTGGCGATAAAAATATGTGCATTTATAAAAAGAAATATTAAAAAGCATAGGAAGTATCCCTCATTATGTGCCTTTTATGCAGCCCTAAGTGGCTGCCTGCCTTGAATAACCTGGTACCAACTTTGGACATTATATACAGTGTGTCCCAAAAGTCTTGGGGCAACTTTAAACATAACAACGCTTAAAATTGTATCTAATCTTTGATTTAAGCAAGATATTTGGTGAACAGTAAGGCAATTCAGTACAGAGTGAATAGGGTGGACAATATATGGTTATGGTTACTAGTGGACCAAACATAAAAGGAGAGTTAGAGATGACAAATGTGGGTTGATAAATGGACTAAAACAAAGCTAAAATACTATCCCAGGGGTGGGGAACCTGCAGCTTTGAGGCCACATCTGGCCTTTTAGGTCCTTAGGTGTGGCCTTTTGACTGAGTCCAAGTTTTACAAAACAAATCCTCTTATTAAGGAGATTGTGAAGTTTGGATTCAGTCAAAGGGCCACACTTGAGGACCCAGAGGGCCACGTGTGGCCTCCAGGCCGCAGGTTCCCCACCCCTGCATTATCCAAAAACTAATTATAACAAGATGTTCTGGATTAGAACCATCACACACCAAGAAATGTTGCCTAACAGGCCAATCTGCTGTTGCAGAAAACTAAGGAATAGAATTAATTTAATCTAGTAGAAACATCACAGAAAACAAAACAAAAAATAAAAATAAGCATGTAGCTTGAGTGATTAAGCTGGAACACAAAGGAAAGCTAGTCATCTAAGCAACAAACAGTTCCAGATCCATTCACTAGATATCCATCTCACAGAAGTGGAGATCAATGTTTTAGCAATAACTCAGAAAGTGCTTTCTAGACACTTGTTGTATAACCATGAGAAAAAGATGGTAGCATTATAAGGAATTTATTACCTATTCATCTGAGATAATCTGTTGGAATTCAATAGGCCTTTATTAAGCACCCACTATATGCCAAATACTGTGCTAGGAGTTGGGAATATGAAGAAAAAAACAAATGATCCCTACCATCAAGAAGCTTACATTCTACTGGGGGGAAAACATGTACACAGGAAAAGTAAATGTAAAATAAATATGAAATGATGTGAGGAAAAGGGCTGGTTCTCTGGATAGGAGAGGAGGGAGGGATATATTTGAAAATTAAGGTGATGTAAAAACAAAAGATATTAATAAAATAATATCGTTTTTCGCAAGTGCATGGAGGATGGGTTCGAAAGGGGAAAACCTGAGAGACCAATTAGGAGACTACCACCATAGCCTAGTTAAGAGGTGAGGAGAGCCTGAATTAGGGTGATAGTTGTGAATGGAAAGGTATTGCAAGGGAGAAAAAGAAGAGGCTTCATGTGGGAGATGGTATTTGAGTTGAGCCTTGAAGAAAGTCAGAGATTCCAAGAGGCAGAGGTCAGGAGCGCATTCCAGGCATAGGTAGCAATTTTTCAAAGGCATGGACACAGGAAATGGAATGTTGCATGTGAGGAACAGTGTATAAATGAGAGTAATGTGTAATGAACATGGAAAGGTAGGCTGGAGCCAGGCAAGGGAGGACTTTTAAATGCCAAAAAGAGATTCTGTATTTTATCCTAGAAGCAAGGAATCACAATAGCTTCTTGAGCAGGAAAATGAAATGGTCCAGAATGTGCTTTAGGAATATCAATGTAATAATAACCACCTTGACCCTGAGGAAGAGATGAGAAAACACATCTTCCTTCCTTCTTTGAAGATTACAGGTGTAGAAATTGTATTTATTGTCACACTTGGTTGATGGTCTGGCTGGTTTGCAGAACTGCTTTTTTCTCTCATTTATTCCTTCATATAAGGGCTGGCTCTCTGGACAGGAGGAGAGGAGGGAGGGATATATTTGGAAATTAAGGTGATGTAAAACCAAAATATATTATTTTTTTTTCTTTTTAAAAATAATGTCGGGGCAGTTAGGTGGCACAGTGGATAGAGCATCCGGCCCTGAAGTCAGGAGGACCTGAGTTCAAATCTGGCCTCAGACCAAACACTTGACACTTATTAGCTGTGTGACCCTGGGCAAGTCACTTAACCTCAATTGCCTAAAACAAAAAAAAAAAATAATGTCAATTTGGCAACTGCATGGAGGATGGATCGGAGATGGGAGAACCTGAGAGTCCAATTAGGAGGCTACTGCCATAGCCTAGGTAAGAGGTGAGGAGAGCCTGAATTAGGGTGACAGCTGTGAATGGAAAGGGACTGGATGCAAGAGGACGTGGAGGCAGAACGGACAAGACCTTGGCAAATGACTGTGTGTGCAGGGTGATGAAGAGAGAAAAATGGGGGCACACTCAACAAAGACTGGGAAGTCAGGAAGAAGGGAGGAGTTAGGGAAAAATACGATGGGCTCAGTTTCGAACGTGTTGAGCGTGAGATAACATCCAGTCTGACATATCCAAAAGGCAATCAAAGATGCAGGACTGGAGCTGGAGGGAGAGGCTGAGACTGGCTGTGAAGATCTGGGGATCATCTACAATATAAGTATGGCAATGATAATGAATAGTTTTATATAGCATTTTTCCTTCTAAGGAGTTAAAGCATTTTTACATGCATGATCTTCCCATCAAAACATAGCTGTGAAGCAATGTTGTAAAACTCAAGTAGAAAACAGAGGCACTAAACCTTAAATAAGGATCCCTGCTGGCTGAATATTGACTTAAAAAAACATACTAACATTATCTATGCTTTATTATATTTTTATTTATTTTGTTCAGTATTTCCCAATTACCTTTTTTTTTTTTGCCTTCTGGTGAGGCAATCAGGGTTAAGTGACTTGCCCAGGGTCACACAGCTAGTAAGTGACAAGTTGTCTAAGGCCACATTTGAACTCAGGTCCTCCCTGACTCCACGAGCGGAGCTCTATCCACTGTGCCACCTAGCTGCCTCCTGAGTTTGGTTCTGGTGCACGGGTTGTGTGTTTGACATCTCTGTGAAGTTCAAAAGTGTATTATTTTTCCAATTTTAAAGATGGAGAAATTGAGGAACAGAGGATAAGCAGTCTGCCCAGCATTTCTCAGTGGCTGAAATGGATTAGAATTCAGATTTTTCCTATCTTTTCACAAAAAGATTCATTCTTCACAACAGATTCCTAAACTTAGTAACTACAAAGAGGTAGAGAGACCTAGGGAGGAAAGACCTAGAGAGCACAGGGAGGAAACCAAGACTTCAGACTGAACCTAGGTTAAGAGAGCCTCTAGGGTACCTGTGTGGCTATTTCAGCCCTTAGTCCTCAAGTATCTGGTCATCCTCAATAATGAAGTCAAATGAAAGGACAGTTCAGAGTCCGAACACACATACACTTAAAGTTAGTATTTGTTTGGGATTCAACCAGACATTAAGGTCTCTGGTTTTATCTCATTAACATTTTAGAAAAGAGATGATTTCCAGTTGATTTCTATGTCTGCTGCATGCTCGTGTCTAAGAAGAGGGCACTGACAAGCAAGAGGCCATGAAGACATGCCACACCTCTGGCCATATCTTGTTTTGCCTGAACTTTGAAGAGATATAAGAAAGAAGATGGAAACTAGATTCAGGAACTTTTCCTAGCAAAGAAGGTTAGTCAGTTCCATATCATCAGCCTTCCACTGAAAACAAAAACAAATTTAAAAAACTCCAAATCTCAGACAGGGGTTAATCTTTTACTCAAGAAGACAGCTCATCTGACTTAAAACTAGTTAAGAAGTTAAGCTGAGAAATGTCCAAAGTCAGTTCAACAAGGTGAGGAAGGCCATGAGAAGTACATATGTGAAAAAGTCAAATGTCTTACTTACCTTTTTGTGAGCCGAGGATCCAGTGGAGGATGCTGAGCTCCATATACAGGCTGGATACTGAAAGGAAAAAAAAAGTAAGGAAAAAAATCATCAATAGATCCAACTAGTTAATAGTCTTCAAGAAGATGATGGAGTAGGTCAGAAAATTCCCAAGCTTTCCAGATTTCCTCCACAAACAAGACAGAATAAATAAACAATAATTGGGGTAGAGCAGTAGTCCTCCTAGAACAAGTGGAAAAGACCCAAGGAAAGACCCCAGGGAGGAAGGTTCTGCCTGAGTGATAAGTAAACACCTCCAGGCTATCTCTGCCCAAATAACAAACAACAAGCCCTAGGGACAGCTGGCTTAAAAGGAAGCCTCAGCCACAGGAATTCTCACCTCACAGACAATATGGGAGGTCAGACATCTGAGCTGGGAAAGACTGAAAGGCCCTCTGCTGCCCAGGGATGCCAGGCAAACAAACCCAGTATCTAAATGAACAAAACCATAAAAAACTTTGTACAAAAGTAAAATCAGATTTAAATAAATGATAAATATTAATTGTTCATGGGTAGGCAGGACCAATATAATAAGAATGACAATTTTACCAAAATTAAGCTATATATTCAATGCTATCCCAATTAAATTACCAAAAATTATTTTACAAAGCTAGAAAAAATAATAAGAAAATTCATTTGGAAGAACAAAAGACCAAGAATATCTGAGGAACTAATGAAAAAAATGTAAAGGAAAGAGGTTTAGCAGTACCAAATCTTAAACTATATTATAAGGCAGTAATTATCCAAACTATCTGGTACTTGCTAAGAAATAAAAAGGTAGATCAGTGGAACAGAATAGACATACAACCTACAGCAGCAAACGAATATAGTAACCTAGTGTTTGACAAGTGTAAAGACTTAAGTTTTTGGGATAAGAAGAAATTATTTGGTAAAAATTGTTGGGAAAACTGGGAAACAATCTCTTAAAAATACCATGTACCAAGATAAGGTCAAAATGAATACATGACCTAGATATAAAGGAAGATATTACAAGAAAATTTGAAGAATTGGAACATATTACCTATCAGATTTAGGGATAGGTGAACAATTCATGAACAAATAAGAGATAGAGAGTATTGTGAGATGTAAAATGGATAATTTTGATTATATTAAATTAAAAATGTTTTGTACAAGTAAAACAAATGTAGCCAAGATCAGAAGAAAAGCAGAAAACCGGGGAGGGGGGGAAATTTAGAGACAGTTACTCAGATAAAGGTCTCATATCTCAAATATATAAAGAACTTTGTCAAATCTGTAAGAATGCAAGTCTTTCCCTAATTGATAAATGGTCAAAGGATATGAACTGGCAGTTTTCCAATGAAGAAATCAAAATAATTTATAGTCATATGAAAAAATGCATTAAATCATTATTGATGCAAAAATGCAACCTTGAGATATCATTTTATATCTATCAGACTGGACAAAATGATAGACGGGGAAAGTGACAAATGTTGAAAGGGATGTGGAAAAATTGGGACTTTAATTCATTGTTGATGAACTATGAGCTGATCCAACTATTTTGGAGAGAGATTTGGAATTATGCCCAAAGAGTTATTAAACTGACTATACCCTTTGACCCAGCAATACCACTATTAGGTCTGTTTTCTAAGATGATGAGGGAAAATGGAAAAGAACCTACATGTTCTAAAATATTTACAGCAGCTCTCTGTGGTGGCAAAGAACTGGAAATTGCAGGAATGCCTGTCAACTGGAGAATGGCTAAACAAGTTGTGGTATATGTTCATGATGGAATACTACTCTGCTATAAGAAATGAGGAGCTAAATGATTTTAGAAAAGCATGGAGAGACCTCCACAAAATAATGAAGAGCAAAATGAGTAGAACCAAGAGAACATTTTATGCAGTAACAGCAGTACTGTTTTAAGAACAACTTTGAGCGACCAAGTCATTCTATTATAAATACCCAAATTAACTGCAAAGATCCTATGATGGAAGATGCTAATTGAATTCAGAAAAAGAAGTGACATACACACATATGTATATGTATATGTACATTATACACACACATTTGTGACTAATTGTAGCCATCTCAAAGTTGGGGGGGGAAGGAAAAAAAAGAAAGTCACATGATGACTTTGTTGTATATTTGAAAGGAATAGCAAGTTGTACATAATGGATCTGCAATTTCAGGTGCAATCCTCTGTTTTTCTATTTAATTTTGTTATGGAAATGCTTGTTTTATTTCTTAAGTTCAGAATAAAATAAATAAATTTTTAAAATCAATTTTTTTTTAAATCTCTTTTATTCTTTTTTTCTTTTTTTTTTTTTTTTGGTGAGGCAATCAGGGTTAAGTGACTTGCCCAGGGTCACGTGACTTGCCCAGGGTCACACAGCTAGTAAGTGTTATGTGTCTGCAGCTGGATTTGAACTCAGGTCCTCCTGAATCCAGGGCCAGTGCTCTATCCACTGTGCCACCTAGCTGCCCCCCTAAAAAATTGATTATTAACCAGTTAAAAAAGTCATCTACCTCCAGACAGGCCTGTACTCAAATCATAGCAGCATATCAACATCCTAATTTCTCCCCATAAAATGTTCAGTGTTTCACAAACCTTATAGTCACAAAGTTGGTACAGAGAGGTATGGAGAAAGTGCTGGACCTGGAGTCTGAAAGATGTTGGTTCAGATTTTCACTTTAGACACTTACTAGCTGTGTGACCCTGGACAAGTCACTTCACCTTTGTCTGCCTCACTTTCCTCATCTGTAAAAAGAAGGGATCAATGATAGATGATCTGTAAGGTCCCTTTAAGCTCTAAATCTATGATTCTAAAAGGAGAATGAATGATAGGTAGATGGTGGGACATGGGGATAGAAATAAAAAAGTCATTTTCCTAAATGGAAAAGTATAAATGGTGAGATTTCCCTTACCCTCAAGGATCAGAGTTAGTGATGGTACTATTTAACACTTTCATAAATGAAGCTGAAGAGGAAATACACAGGAAAATCTCTAAATTCCAGAAAACACTAAAGTCTTCTTAATAGTAAAACATAAAGCCAGCTGCAGGAAAATGCAAAATTTCATCAAGTTGCTATAGGTATAGGATATACTATGAAAGAACTGAGACGCTAGAAATCTATTCAACACCTAAGGTTATTCTACTTGCCCCCTTATTCTTCATCTTTCATTGGTTCTTCCTCCTGGGGACCCCCATGAAATGAATGTCCCTAAAGGTTCTATCCCTGGCTGCCTTCTCTGCACTCTCTCCATGCTCTCCTTTGGCAAGTCATTCGCTTCCATGGTTTCAACTATCATCTCTTCTTAGACAATTTCCAAATCTTTATTCTAGCCCTATCCTCTCTTCTGAGCTACACAGCATAAACCCAACTACATATAAGTTAGCCTTTCATGGATGTTCCACTAACGTCCCAAACTTAAGACATTCAAAACTGAACTTAGCTAACTGGTCACATGTTCAAAACTTCTCTTATTCTTGACTCTTCCCCCACCTTCACTCTTATATCCAATCAGTTATAGTACTGTATTATACTAATATACTACAATATAGCTCAAGCCTGTCCTCTAATCTCTCATCATAGTTAGGCCACCTTGATGGTTTACCAACACCTACCTGAACAACTACATAACCTCCTCAGAGGGCTTCCTGTCACCACTCTTTCTCCCCTAGAAACTATCCTTCGTAACAATTCCAAACTTATCTTCTTTACAAATAGACTTGGTCACCGTCGTTCCTCTGTTCAAAATTCTTCAACAGCTCCTTATTGTCTACTGAGTTAAGTTCAAACACCTTTGCTTGGCATTCAAAGCACTCTTCCATCTGGCAAGACCCCACCTTTCAGGCAACCAAACGGGAATAGTTGTCTATATCTGTACCTAGTCTATACCTGCCTATTTCCTACCTTTGCTACTGTTGTTTTCCTATACCAGAAATGTCCCTATCAAGTAGCTCACATTTGTACTGGCTTTAAGGCTTGTAAAGCACTTCATATAATTATCCCATCTGATCTGACCTCCTTAAATTCCTATTCATCCTTTAAAGTCACTACTAGGAGGTGAGAATCACCTCCTTAAATTCCTACTCATCCATTCAAATACCACCTCTTTCCAGAAAAATTTTACCTCATAAACAGATAATGATTTTTCCCTATCATAAAGCCATTCTCTGCCATTTCTCTGATGCCCCAGACATGCACTATTTCTGTATGAGTTAGAAGTGTATAAATATTATATCCTCTACACTTAGCACAGTGACTTGCATGTAGCAGGCATGTAATAAATGTTTGTTAAATAAATTCCCCTACCTGACTGAAAGTTCCATGAGAGCAGTGGCCTTCTCCTCTAAACTTCTATCTTTTTAACTGAATTGAATGGAATCACACTGTGTCTACAAAGTAAGTCTGGCCTTTGTTAAGACCTAACAGTGGAAATAAGGCTTCCCTAAGTACCTAATTTAGGTACTTTCTTCAGTCCTCCTGGATCCCAGTATAGCAATAAAAATTGCTTGATTAACAGTCATCATTTCTGTGTAAGAAGAAGGAAGGGCTCCACTCCTGGCAGGAATGAAAATCAGGATGTGATGATTGAGCCTGAGGCTCAGGCTTTTCCCCTACAGTTCTAGATCCCTTCCACATCTTCTCAGAGGGAGAATCACTAAGAATAACCCTAAAGCAACAGCAGGTGCTGGTAGGAATGGGATCATGAGATGAGAGACCTGGAAATGGAAGCAACCTTAGTGGTCATTTTACAGAGGGGAAACCGAGGAAAAGAAACTGGAGGTTGGGGTAATGGCAATGGGGAGTAGGGATAGTCACAAAAGAGATGGAAAGACAATACATTAGTATAATCAATATAACCAAGAATTCCCATACTTCTAACCTCAACACTCAAAAAGGGAAGTGTTAATTTCTACTTACGAGAATGCTCAGGGTGACTGTCAGAGCACCAGAAGAATGCAATCCGTTGTTGCCACCAGGAATAGGAAAGATTGATCAGAATAATGCATACACATAGAATTTCAGCTCTGGAAAGGCAGTCAGTCAGGATCTATCCAAATATTTTACAGATGAGGAAAAGGAAGGCCTAGGGAGGGAACATATTTGTCCAAAGTCTCCTTGCTAGATCTCCTGACATGTGATGATGATGCCTGATTGTAATGCTTTTTCCACCTCCCCATATATTATAATAATACTTCATGTTTAAGGTTTACAAAGCATTTTTGCTTTGTAAGTAGGCCAGGTAGATATTGTCAGTATCATCAAATGTATTTTGCAGATTAGGAAACTGAGGCAGGGAGAGGCTGAGTGGCTTCTCCCAGGTCAGATAGACATGGCTTGCTGTTAATCACCAATTAATATCTAACCACTTATAATTCTCCTGAGCAGAATTTATTTTCGCTGAGGCTCAGATGGGGACTAGACAATTCCTGGTTAGCATTCTCTCATTTCAGTTTCAGAAACAAGATGGAGAACAAAGTTTAGTTCAGAAATCAAACCCATTCAATAAAAATAAGAAAGTACCACCTTCCTGAGCATCAAGCTATTTCAATGATACATTATTAAACAAACAGGTCTTATGAAGAACTTACAGGAGAAATTTTTAAAAAATTCTTTGATGATTTATGGTGGGGGTGGTCATATCTGAGGAAGTACTTTATTAAATAAGATGCCTATTTTTTTGTCACAAAGTTTTCTGGATCCACTATTAAAGGAACTAAAAGCAATCAGTTACTGCTTTATTTTCTCCATCTCAGCTTAAAGAATAGTAAATTAATTTTACTTCTAAGTTGTTAAACACATATACAAAGCAATTTTCTCAGTTCTGCACAAAACAGAAGAAAGTTTTTCTTTAGTGTGATTGAAAGAGGTTCTATGATCAAGAAGCTGTTAAAAATGTGTGTCCACATCAAAGCACCACTTAATATCCTTAGTTATTTCTAAAATACTGTCCTTAGCCCAGAAATAAATCCAGATCTAAATCTGTTTAAGAAAAAGAACAAAGTGCTAACAAAAATCACCAATTACCTAATACACCAAATGCATAATGGATCAAGGATTAACAGCAAGTTCATCTATAACCAGCAGGGGTAAAGGCTTCCTTGTAAGTTCATTGGTCCTGAATTTTTAAAGAATACAAAATGGTTTGGGTTGGGGGAAGCCCAAAGGGCACTAAAAACTCTTCTATCACCCTTCACTGAAGTATAGGGTTTCAAAAGGTTACATCTTCCCCTTAATTGTTTTATAGGGCAACATTAGAAACACTTAAAATAGACAGAAGTAGAGGCACATCTTGTACACACACCCCTTTTTTAACTTAGGTTCCCCAAAGATCCCAGTTACTCATGTCATTTCCCAGGCTTCCAGGGCATGGCAATATATAATGATCTCATCATGGAAAACCCCAAGTACAGCTTTTAATAGAGGTGGAGACCCCAACGAACCAGGAAGGAAAATGGAATAGTGGAGAGGAAATGGGGTATTAAAACCTCCCAAATATGAATTCAAAATAATATAATTAACATAAAAGTTGAATTTGAAGCTGTCTACATTGTCCCCCTCTCCCCCTTCATGTGAGTCTTAGTTGGATATTAAATAAAATATAATAACTGTACAACTTTCCCTAACCTTCATTTCTTTCACTTTTTCTCTTAAGAAGTCATCACATTTGGAGAGGGGAAGTTGGGGGCAGAGAGAAAAATGAGCAAAAGAAACTAATAAGCAGAAAAAAAAGAGGCAGAAACATTGGAAATGGCAGTTTATCTGGCACCTTTAGAGCTGACCCTGTCTGCAATTGCCTTCTGTTCACTCAAGAAGTACAAACTTCTTAAGATATCTCTGAGGAGGTATTCTATCCTTCTTTCATCCTGCAAACCACACGTAAGAGAACAGATTTGCTGATGCCAAAGCATATTTATGATGCAACAAACATGAAAAAAGCAGACACATTAGCTAAATACACAAAGCATTTGGGGAGAATTCTATATACTTGCACAAGGCCAGAAGCATAGGAGAGAGGATCTATGGATGACAGCTATTAGAAACTTTGAGACAGACTGAGACTGGAGGGGGGAGGGGGGAGAGGAGAGGGAGAGGGAGAGAGGAAGAGAGAGAGAAGGAAGGAATTAGATAAATCCTCCAGACAAACCTATATTCTAAAGATCATTTTCTAATACTCTTAATGAGAAATAAATATAAGGTTAGAGAAATGTCTTCACTTTCTCTATCCTCTGCTTCAAGCCCCAGGACAGGCACACACAAGCTGGGTGACCCTGAGAAAGTCACTTAACATGTACCAAGAAACTCTAAAACTTGTAAGTCGCATGAGCAAAGGCAGTTTCCTTAGTAGGAGTTTCCCACATGTATGAAATTACGGGTTCAAAAAAAAAAGTGATCCATCAGGGACCCCTATCTCCTAAGAACACCTAGGTTCACTTTCCACAATAGGGGCGGTCAAGAGAAGAGATGGGGGAAAAAGTACCTGGCACAGAGTGAGCAGGCAATTAATAAAAGCTTGTTGATTGCCTGATAAAAGGAGATGGCCTTGCATTCAGAGAGCTCAAGAGGGGCCCATGCTCGTGCAACCTTCCACATGTGCAACCCTGAGGCTCGGAAGAAGGCATCTTACTTCAGGTGGGAAACAAGTTATCCACCTTGGTGAGACCCCTTCCAACACAACTACGCCCCCCTGTCGTACTCTCATACCATCTACTCAAGAAAACAGCATATGCAGTAGGAGTGCAGAAGGCAACGGGCAGCAGAGTCACAAATCCTAGGTGTTCATCTGGGCTTATTCCTTTCCAGGCTGTGTGACAGCGGGGAAGTGGCTGCCCTTCTCAGTGCCTCAGTTTCTACATCTTTAAATGGGGGCTGGCAGCTCTTGCATCCCTCTACCCCCATCGGGCTATCTTGAGGAAGGAGCTGTGTAGACAGACCTCCAAGTGCCGCCGAAAGGAGAGTGACCATCAGCACGCCCCCCCCTTCTCCCCAGGGGTTCCTGTATGCACCTCCCAGGCGCGGGCAGCCCCCACCCCGCGGCGGCCCCGAGCCCCCGCGGTGCCACCTTCCCTAGAAGCAGCGCACACACGCGGGGCTGGGGCTCGGGTGGATCTCGGTCCCGGCCCCGGCCCCGGCCCGGCTCCCGCCCCGGCTCCCTCCCGTCCCGGACTGCCTGCCTCGCTAGCTGGCTCACCTCCCCGGCAGCTTGGCGCTCCTCTTCCAAAACTGCTTGCTGTTGTCTCCGGCCATGGCTTGGGCCCAGGGAGCAGGCTGCAGGCGGGGCCGGGGGAGGGGGGAGCTGGAGAGACGCCCCCAAGACCCCGCCACCCGAGGGCCGAGCAAGGCCGCTTCCCTCCTGCTGCCACCGCTGCCACCGCCGCCGGTCACCCGCTCCCACCTCCTGGGGGCGCCATCTTGAATGTGGGCGCCCCCCCTCCTCCTCACGACGCCGCTCCGCTGCCATTGGTCGCTGGCGGGGGCCGTCGCCGCGCAGGCCAATGAGGAGCGTGCGTCGTGTGGGCCGCCGAAGTCGAGATTTACGTCAGGGAGTAGGGCATACATACAGGTGGGCAGCGGGGGAGGAGTCCTAGGGGATGGAGGGGCGGGACTTAGAAGCGCCAATCACTGAGAAGAATTGGAATAGGTAAAGAAACATACACCTTTGTGAGAGGCAGAAGACACTTTTTTGTTGAGTTTGGGCTCTTAGGACCCCAAGTTGGCTTTGTTCTTTTTTTTTTCTGTCCTCTTCTCTTCTTGTCTCTTCTCTTCTCGTCTCTTCTCCTTTTCCCTTTCTTTTCTTTTCTTTTTTTTTTTTTGATCGGGGGAGTGGGGTGGGGCAAGAAAGGGCCAGTTAGGAAAAGACCTCTCGTTCTAAAAATTAGGAACTCCAAAGGACTCGTGATGAAAAAATACTATCCGCCTCTAGAGAAAGAACTGATGAACTCAATGCAAATTGAAGTAGAATTTTCTTGGTTTTTATTTTTTTCCGATATGTCTAATATGGAAATATTTTGCATGATTTCACATGTATAATTGATATAATTTGCCTGCCTTCTTAGTGGGTGGGGGAGTGATGGGAGGGAGGGAAAGAATTAGGAACTCAAAATTTAAAAAGAAAATGTTAAAAATAAATAATTAATTCATTTTTAAAAAATGAAATAAAAGTTAGGAACCCTAGTATTCCGATGTCATAGCTCCCATCACCAGCTAATTGTCACTGCTCTATACACACAGTGAAAAAACCTTCTCTTTCTGGACCACAACTTCCTTACCCACAAAGCAAAGAAAATGTCTTTGACTCAGGGCTACCACTTCTGCAACAAGACAGTGGTTGGTTGATGAGAATCTCATTAACCACTTAGAGGACTGGTGAGGTGTACCACATAAGAGAAGTACTCTTTGTCCCAATGAAGTTCACATACTAGATATTCCACATTCTTTCAGTTATTTCAGGGAGGCAGTTTGGTGTAGTGGATAGGGAGCTGGGACCTAAGCAAGAAGATCTGGGTTCAAGTCTCACTGCTGCCTACGTAGTGTCTAGTCCCTTTACTTTTCAGTGCTGCAGGCAGTCCTCTAAGACTAATAAAATTGTAGAAAAGGTACTGACCGGTGTTGGTAGAGGGAGGTCCCTATTCATTCCATCAACATACGTTACGCTCCTACCATGCAGACAAGAATTGCACAGGTTGAATGGCCAAGTATCAGTATACAGAAAGATGATGTTGATATTGAATCGTATTATGAAAAGAGCACTTTCTAGGAAACCACAGAGGTGAAACCACAAACAGTTGACTATAATAGTATTAAGTAAGTGCATTAGCAATAGACAGAAGTATTTTTAAAAAGTATTTTTTCAATAATGAAGGGGAAAGTCATTCCTTCTTTATGACAACCCAGATGCTGACAAACAGAATATAAGAAATTGCATAATGGGTTCAGTCAACGATTCATTGAGACCAGGGTACCAAATACCATTCTGTGGGAGGGCATGATTGCTCTCTACTGATTTAGTCACTAAAGTTAGAGAAATATCCTCCAGATATCCTTGTATTTAGAAAAATTCTCCCTGAATCTATTTCGCTTTTAAAGCTACACTGCTTATTGGTTAGCTTTTTTTTTTTTTTTTTTTGGCTAGGCAATGGAGTTAAGTGACTTGCCCGGGGTCACACAGCTAGTGAGTGTTATATGCTGAGGTGCTGAGATCGGATTTGAACTCAGGTCCTCCTGACTCCAGGGCCGGTGCTCTATCGACTGCGCCACCTAGCTGTACTGCTTATCAGGATATTTCACATGCTTACTACCCAGACGTGATGTCCTTTCAAACTAACTTTTGCCCCTTTCTTCAAGCTTCTTTTGTCCTGTAACTTTAGTATTGAGATTTGATATAGAAATCACTGCACTCACGCTTTTATGGACTTTGATCATGCCCTCTCAGCTCTTCCCTATATACTTCCACCAGATCTCTTTTATTCCTGAGCTGTTATACTCAAACGGAAACTGCTCCATCTATCCTTTTGATCATTTTTAATGGGCATTTTCTAATTATGTCTTTCGTGAAACATTGTGACCAGAACTGTACATAGCATTCCAGATATAGATATCTGGTTTTGCGCCGGGTATAAAGAGATCTCTGGTCTAAGAGAACTTAGTCAATCTTAATCATAGCAACAAAGTGGACCAAAAAGAGGATCCCTCTTGAAATGGACCTGGGTATACTTCTCAATTATTTCTTTCGTTATCTCCACCCAGGTAATATCTAGAAAACTTTAGTATCCGATACTCCCTTAAGGGCAACCATCAGGGCAACCCTTACTAACAATCAGGCTCACTGGTTTTCAAAACATAGAACAGTTCTATTTATGGGGAATATAGAAAGACATTACATTCAAGCCCAAAAGAATCAAGTCCTCCCTGCCCCCCATCATCCAACCTTGCCTCCCAGGAACTTGTCTGGCCCGTATCACCTACAATACTACCTTGAGTGGTACTCCAGAAAGGAGGAATGTCTCTGGATCTGTGCCCTCACTTTGGTGTTCTGCTCCTGTTGCCTCCATCCCCACTGATGTTCTCCAGCACTCACTTGCTCACCATTCTCTCTTTTAATCTGCTTACTGACTGTTGATGTTTTAGCTGATCTTTAGCTCCTCAGCCCATAAAATAATTACATTAGAGGAGCCTCAGCTGCCTGTATTTCAGGCAACTATTTCTCTCCTCTGGGGCCAGAATGACTCTAGGCTATTTACACCTTCTGTTGTTTTTAACACTGGAGTCTCAGGAGTCTTAGAGCACCATTCTATACACTAAGGGCTGTTAACCTGTTTTGTGTCATGGACCCCTTTGGCAATCTGACGAAAGTTACCAACAACCTTCTCAGAACAATGTTTTAAAATTAATTTAAATATGTATACATATATACATATATATGTACATATGATTACAAAGGCAGTCAATTATATTGAAATACAATTTTTTAAATTTAAAAGTAGCTCTAAATCACTATTGATTAGAGAAATGCAAAGTAAAACAGCTCTGAGGTACCACCTCACACCTGTCAGATTGGCTAATATAACAAAAGAGGAAAATGATAAATGTTGGAGGGGATGTGGGAAAGCTGGGACACTAATGCACTGTTGGTCTAGTTGTGAACTGATCCAAACATTCCGGAAAGCAATTTGGAATTATGCCCAAAGGGCTATAAAACTGTGCATATCCTTTGATCTAGCAATACCACTGCTAGGTCTATATCCCAAAGACATAAAAAAGGGGGGAAAGGACCTAGTTGCACAAAAATATTTATAGCAGCTCCTTTTGTGGTGGCTAAAAATTGGAAGTCAAGAGGATGCCCATCAGTTGGGGAATGGCTAAACAGGCTGTGGTATATGATTGTGGTGGAATATTATTATTCTATAAGAAATGACAAGCAAGATGATTTCAGAAAAACCTGGAAAAACTTATATGAACTGATGCAAAGTGAAGTGAGCAGAACCAGGAAAATGTTGCACACAGTAACAACAATATTGTACAATGAAGAACTATGAATGACTTAGCTCTTCTCAGCAATACAATAACCAAAGCTAATCCCAAAGGACTAATGATGAAGCATATTTTCTGCCTCCAAAGAAAGAGCTGATACTGTCTGATTGCAGACTGAAGCATGCTATTTTTCTCTTCTTTCTTTCATTCCTTTTTTTTGAGTCTTCTTATATAAAATGACTAATATGGACATGTTTTACATGATTGCACATGTGTAAACTATATCAGATTGCTTACCGTCTGAGGGAGGAATGAGAAGAGGGAGGGAAAGAAAGACAGAATTTCGAACTCAAAACTTTTTTTAAAAACTTTAAAAATTGTTTTAATATGTAATTGGGGAAAATATATTTTTAAAATGTTAGCAGGTTATCCTGAAAAAAAAAAAAAAGGTCCAGGTTAAGGGCCCAAGGTTAAGAACCCCTGCTTTAACTCAAAGCAATTAGTCAGGTGTCCGTTAAATTCTCCCTCATCTTTCCATTGTCCACTTTGAATCAGTTCACAATGAATCTCTTCCTTTTACCTCTCCCCTTCCCCAGCACCTAAGCTGTGTGTCTACAGCTCAGTTAGTACTTTCCATTTATTTTCAGTGGGATTCAGAGGGTACTCATAATCTCTTTGTATTTGCCTTTCTCCTCCTACACCCACCCACTCTGTTCAGGACATCTGGGCTACACTATTCAAGTTACATTTGGCTTCTTTTTGCTGTGAAAAGAGGAGAGGGAGGGGTAGAGCCAGTTCTTCCCAGCAAAGGGAAGAATTGTAATCAATCTGCATTAAGAAAGAAAAAGAATTTGAAGGCCCTTGCTAGAGTGGGATAAAGATTTCTGTTTATATCTGGTGACCTTCCTGATAATGTTGAGAGTTTTGTTGGGGCAACAATACATTGAGTAGTGATGTCTTTACAGCTGACATTCCACAACTGTAGCCTAAGGAGAGAATGGAAGTATGTATAATTATCAGACATTTGAAGTTAAGATGGATTATTGGCATTTAATCTGAATTTTGATATCTTTCAGTGTTGCTTTCAGTGACATTGTTGTGATCACTTTGTTTATTTTTTCCTAATGTATATTTTCTTTGCTCTATCAACAATTCATGTAAGTATTCTGTTTCCCAGAATTTCTTATACATGTAATATAATGTTCCATTATGTTTGTAGAGCACAATTTGTTTAAACATTTCCCAGTTGGTGGGAACCCACTAGGTTTTTGCTACCCTCAAAAGTGCTATTATGAATACTCTGGTTTCTATATGGGATCTTTCTTTTGGTCTTTGACTTCCTTGGATATTGTGGGATCCAACAATAGAATGTC